TAATTTTTTGATTTATTGTAGAGATGAGGTCTCGTCAAGTTGCCCAGGCGGGTCTCGAACCGGCGGGCTCAGGCAATCCATTCACCTCGGCCTCCCAAAGTGCTGGAATTACAGGCTGAGCCACCGAGCCCGACCTTGCCGGATTGTTTTATTAGCTAATGTTTCTGCTTGGAGATGGCTAGGATTTCCCACATCACACCCTTTCCCTTCACACTGTCGACCCCATGCCTGTACAGTGTGTCATGTGAAATCTGCAGTTCCCTTCCCAAATACTTGTCCACTGACTGTTGGTGTGCTCTCTCCTAGGCCAATGAAGTGACCGACAGCGCATACATGGGCTCTGAGAGCACCTATAGTGAGTGTGAGACCTTCACTGATGAGGACACCAGCACACTGGTGCACCCTGAGCTACAGCCAGAAGGGGACGCGGACAGCGCAGGTGGCTCTGCCGTGCCCTCTGAGTGCCTGGACGCCATGGAGGAGCCTGACCACGGCACTCTGCTGCTGCTCCCAGGCAGGTCTGTACCCTGCAACCATATGCCTGGGCATGTGTGCATCATGTGAACATATTGGAATTCACTACATGGCAGGGATGGGCTTGGTGAATAGGGTTTGGACCCCGCAGTGGCTCCTTCCCTTGCCTCATCACCTGCCATCTCTGAGCAGTCTCCCTGTCAGAATGACTGTTGTTTTAAATGTTACACAACTTCTTTGACTGTAGTGATGGAAATTATAGGAGAAAAACTTCCACTCAACCTTTTGGGTTTTGTCAGCACAGTTCTTAAAACCAGGGCGAGATGGCACAGTATTCTGTGAATGTCTTTAGGAGGGTCTTGGCAGCACCTCTAACAAGACCATGTTCTCTCCCACCCCATTCCTGCCCCTAGGACATCTGTGGTACCCATGCATTTCTAGCTAGTTGGATTGGAAAGGAGGGGAGAGTTGTGGGAGAAGATTGGATGAGAGAGGTGTCCAGTGGCCCATGCAGACCCAAATAATGGCTTTAGGTTTTACCTGTGCTACTTGGGAAGCCACTGCGCTTAGCAGGTTTGGAAGTGTTTTTTATTGTGTTTTGCTTAGTTTATTTCATTTCATTTTTGGTTCACCTCTCAGAGTTTTTGGCTTTTTACTCTTCAGTAAGTATAATAAACCTACAAATAAGTGCCCATATTGTAAGTGAACAGCCAGCTAGTTTTTCACACTGACCACGCCCACATACCCATTCTCAGGCACAAGGAAAACATACCTGCATCAAGGTGCCTGTTGTGTGTCCTCTCAGGCACCAAGCTTCACAGCAGTGAGCTCTCTGTCCATGTTGTGTCTTCCATACGTGTAATCACACAGTGTGCATCCTCTCTGTACCTGGCTTCTTTCACTTAAGATCGTGGTTATGAGAGTCATCCTTTTGTGCATAGTTGTAAACCATTTACTTTCATTATTAGAGTAGTATTCCATTGTATGAATATGCTGCAACTTTAAAATGTATTCCACTGTTGATAACATTTGGGTAGTTTACTGGTTTTGTTTTTGAGACTAAAGCTGTTATAGACATGACATGTCTTGGTGGCCCACTGTGTCCCTAGGTGTGGGATGTATACCTTTGGGAGCATATACATTCAGCTTTAGAAGCTCCTGTCATTGTTGTCTCTGAAGGGGTCTCAGTGGCCACACCCCACCACATCTGTGGGTTCTGTTGCTCCTGTCCTTGGCAGCCCTTGGTCTTGTCTGCTTTTCCATGCTCACTTTCTGGTAGGCATGCAGTGATGGTGTTGTGTATTTCCCCCTGCATTTCCCAGGTGAAAGGAGGGTGTACACTCTTAGGTTGATCACCCATCTGGAACACCTCTTTTGTGAAGTACCTGTACCTGCCTTTTGCCTGCTTTGTTTATTGCAGGGGTCTGCACATTTTTCTGCAAAAGGCTTGCAAGCCACATGGCCCCGTGGCAGCGGCTCATCCCTGCTGTTGTGGCACAGAAGCAGCCAAGACACGCATGCGAGTGAGCGTGTTGTGTTCGGAGGAAACAATTTACGAAAACAGGTCATGGCAGGGTTTGACCCCTGGCCTCTTGAGTCATCTGTCTTTTTCTTACTGACTTGTAGGAGTTCTTTGTGTATTTTAGATATGAGTTCTTTGTGGAGTATGTGTATTATAGGTATTTTTCCTACTCCAAGGGTCTCCTGTTCATTTTTATGGTGGTATCTTTGAGGAACAGATGTTTTAAATTTTACCATAGCCTGGTTTATCCATTTTTCTTTTCTTCTGTTTTTTGAGTCGGGTCTCACTCCAACACGCAGGCTGGAGTGCAGTGGCAGAATCATGGCTCACCACAGCCTCACCCTCTTGTATTCAGGTGATCCTTCTGCCTCAGCCTCTTAAGTAGGTGGGACTATAGGCATGCTCTACCATACTGGTTAATCTGTTGATTTTTTTGTAGCGATACGGTCTCACTATGATGCCCAGGTTAGTCTTGAACTCCTGGGCTCAAGCAATCCTCCTACCTCAGTCTCCCAAAGTTTTAGGAGTGCTGGCGTGAGCCATCATGCTTGGCTCATTTTTCTTTTATGGTTAGCACTTTATGTCCCACTTAAGAAATCTTAGTTTCCTCCGTAGTCATCATGACATTTACTTCTGCTTTCCTTTAGAAGTATTATTATTTTACCTTCACATTCAGAGCCATCATCACCTAACTTTTTTGTATGTGGTATGAGGTAGGGGTCATTTTTTCATATGGACATCTAAGTGACTCAGCTTTTGGAAAGACTCCTCCACCATTGCTGCTCTGGGATCACCTTGGTCACATGTTGTGGCAGTATGTGAGTGGCTCTTTTTGGACTCCGTCTAGCCGGTACTTTGCCATCTCCTCTCTCCAGTGTTAGCATAGATGTCTGGTGGCGCAAGTCCTCCAGCCTTACTCTTCAAGGTTGCTTTGGTGCCTTTTGTATTTCCCTGTTTATTTTAGAATCAGCTTCTAATTTCTGGGAAGAAAGCATCTGCTGGAGTTCTGGTCGGGATTGTGGGGTCTACAGACTACCTTGCAGAGACTCAGCCTCTTCACAATATGGGTCCTCCAATCCTTGAACATGGCGTCTTTTGTGATTTACCTGGGCCTTTTCATTGTGGTTGCTGTGTGCTATATGACTGCTGTGCACCTAGGTGGGTTCAGGAAATCTCTGGGCTCTGCCGGGAACATGACACCTGCCACTTGTGGTTTGTAGTGAACAGGCAGTACTACAGGGTGGAAGAAAACAGCATGTGATCTTGAAGTGTGAGGATAAGATACAATGGGACTGAGGATGCCATTTTTGCCTATAGTTTTATTAAAAGCCTTTTTTTTTTAAGTTGGAGTTTCACTCTGTCTCCCAGACTGGCGTGCAGTGGCACGCTCCCGGCCACCACAGCCTCGCCCTGCTGGGCTCTGGCGATCCTTCCGCCTCAGCCTT